TTAGCTTGACACGCTAACCACTCGACTACACTGCCCCGAGTACCCTTGAGTCACAGGGAATAAGTGAATTTCAAGGAAGGTCAGGCCTCTGCTATATCATATTTTTTTTGGCGGGAGTTACACTGATTTACTGGTAGTCTCGAAACCCTACCCAAATACGACTATAAGTAACGTAGTCGATTGCTATATCAAACATACGTTTGCTTCATCGACACTTCCACCAAAAAGAATATGATATAGCAAAGTCCTGACCTTCCTTAAATTTCACACATGCCCTGTGACTCAAGGGTACTCGTGGCAGTGTTGCCGAGTGGTCAGCGTGTCAAGCTACCGTCCTGCACTGTCGCGGTTCGAGTCCCGCTGAGGGTGTTGATAAGACCGATGCGAGGTCGAAACTGTAGTCCACTTCTGTCTGGATGAGAACAACTTTTGGGAAAGCAAGGCTATGTGAAATGAATGGAAAACGTCAGCTCTACTCATATCATTGTGGGAAAATTCGACTACCAGTCCTTCATCACCTTACACGAAATAGGGTGAATACATCTCATTGAACGTACATTGTCCTAAATCCGAAAGGCATGGCGATGTACCAAGTCCACGGTCCGAGGCTGGGAATTGTCATAACTGCTCTAGCAGAAGGACAATGTGCATCCAATTAGACCGTGTTGAAAAGACGCCCCAGTTGTGAAAACCAAGTCGGACCAAGTCTATATAGCAAAAGGAGACTGCTGCCAAAACAGAGGCCGCGACATCTTTGTCGTCATATCTACAAAATGCTAAGCCCTGACAACAGGACAATACTGAGCCGGACTGATTAGTCGAGCTGTCTGTGCCAAATTTTACGATTCACCAGCAAGTGGTGGAAGCAGACACGTACCTCCGTCGGGGCCTTGGCCTCATCCAGCGTGGATGAGAACAAATGCTGCGGCCGGTCGGTGAGCAGCCATGCATTCGAGCTCCGGGCTATCATGGGCGCCGAGTGTTGTTTCAGCAGACTGCAGTTGCCAACGCCTTCATCAGCAGAACCCTTAATGCTTAGCGCCTTCAACTTGGCCGGCCAAACTGAGGTGAACAGCGAAACCGAGGACGACGATGACGACGAGGCGGAGACAGACGTGGATGTCGAACCCGGGGCAGACGTGGCGCAGCAATGGCCGCTGGTGAAGCCGTTGCCAGGCTTCGTTGCCATGGCCGCTTGGGTGGTGGTAGCAGGGCTGAGCATGAGACGGCGATGGCAAGTGAAACGAGCCGTTCGAGCGATGTTGGCCTCACGCTCCCGCTGGCAGACGATCGCCTCGACGGCCAGCCACTCGGACATGGCGTCCTCAAAGTCCGCTTTCGTCAGCAGATCGAGTTGACGAAGCTGATCGGCATCCGCCGTCCACGGATAGTGACCAAGCAGAAATGGCCATAGCTAACGGCGACGGGGTGAGGATGGAGGATGGAGTTTAGAGTGTGGGCGACGAGAGGTATAGTGACATAATCGGGGCCGTCAACTCCAAAACCGCAAAAACCGAACTAAGGAAAA